GCCTGACATGGCTCTCCAGCTGACCCAGGATCCAAGACAAGAGAGCGCTAATCTTTTGTACAGAACCCTAATCATTGATTGTCGGTGGCATTATTTCAACATGGCCGCCCCCGAAGGCTAATTAAACCACTAATGTTAATAGATGCGGCCGCTCTAAGAATAGCCGGGAGTTAGCATTGTCTGTAAATGTCTCGCAGCCACTCCTCTTTTGTCCTTCCAAGATTGGGTTATTTCCAACGGTGGAGATTAGCCGCCGCGGCCGAAACTCCTCCGCTTCCATTCTGATTCCATATCAAACAGAGAAATGTCAGGACCTACTCTGTGACATTTAAAGCCCCTTTGTGGACCTTGTCTAATTGAGACTTCCTCATTATAATGATGGAGTGTGGAGCGCGGCACAACCACGGTGAAAGAACATTATTTACAGCAGCAGACGCAAAAGTGAACCTGGACATCTCTCCATCTCCGTGGCATTTGGGTCTTGTCACATAATGGGCTGATAGTAATGGTCGGCATATTTGCAACAAGATAAAGACATGTGTGGTTAAAAATCTTGCAAAGGAAAGTTGCATGGAGGTGTATGAACTGTTGTGTGTGTCTGTACTGTTCGGCTTTTGTGTGAAACCGTAAACAGTCGGTGAAGGCCTCTATAGGCGGCCGGAGTTCATGTGCAGAGGGACATATAAAAGACTGGAATAAAGTTTAAATTATAGACTCATAACACATACAGGAGACTTAGCTCATGTTACAGTACAGCAGGAGCAAAGCAGTTCTTTCAATATTGTTTTATATTATTTTTGAGACCAAAATAATATACACTAAGGATTAGCAAACACCTAGCCTGGTCGTACCACACCATAGTACAAATTACACTCAGTACTAAGGTCTGGAGGCGCTCCATTGAGCTCTGTTTACAGATAGGAGGGGTTAACTTCTTTTACAGATTGAAACGATTGGATCTGAGTTTACCGTGACGTATGTAGTGCGCCCGAGTGAGTCGTTAGCATTTAGCCTAGCCATCTCCTTAGCAGCTAACGGAGCCCGGGCGATTACAATTGCTAAACATTCCTCTTGCTCCGGCTTCAATTTCTTGATAGAACCAGACCGGATTACTTTACTATCGCATTTTTCGACATTGTCAAACTACAACCTGCGGTTCGACGCAAACTCTTGACGTCACCCACATCTAACTACAACACGCGCCTCCCGCGCTCAATGATTTGTCGGTCAAAATTCAACCAATTGTAATCACTAACACAGGGACCAGACCCAGACGTTACATGCAGGAAATGATGATTGAGCGGAGAGTACGGACGGATAAGGCCAGGCTACCAAACACCATAAACTCTAGTTAAAGCTGAGTAACTTTAGAGCCAGGAAGTACTGTCTCATTAGTCCAGTTCTCAAGCCCTTGCAACGGCTTCCTGTGGCACCAAAGTACATCTGTGACATCTTAGTGCGCACATGAACCAACTCTGAGTAGCACAGGGACTGGCCTCCTGCTGGGACTCTGAGGAGCACAGGGACTGGCCTCCTGCTGGGACTCTGAGGAGCACAGGGACTGGCCTCCTGCTGGGACTCTGAGGAGCACAGGGACTGGCCTCCTGCTGGGACTCTGAGGAGCACAGGGACTGGCCTCCTGCTGGGACTCTGAGGAGCACAGGGACTGGCCTCCTGCTGGGACTCTGAGGAGCACAGGGACTGGCCTCCTGCTGGGTCTCAGAAGAGCACAGGGACTGGCCTCCTGCTGGTGCCTAGAGTTGGGGAAGCAGCATTTCAGATTTATGCAGGTAAAATCAGCAACAGTCTTCCTGAAAATGAGAGACAGGCCTCTTCTCGGACAAATACCAATAATTGCTTTTATTTCATCATCAGTTCCTCATTGCTCATTTGCCAAACCAGAAATGGCCCAGGGACTTATTAGAACCAGTGTGAAGCAGGTCTAAAGGTCCTGGGTCGATTCCACTTCCAGACAGGGCCTTTCTGTGAGTAGTTCGCATTTGCTTTCTGATTCCGTTTGTGAAAGGCGCTGTATAAATAAAGATTACTTACCGACTAACTGTCTAAACAAGCTTCTGCAGCCGCTGGGCTTTGGAATATTCACAAAGAAACATACATTATTCCACCATATCGATTATACCACAACAAACAAAGAACCGTATACTGTAGCTTCGCCATATTTGACTCACAAACGAGAAAAACCAAGCCTATATCATTATATGTTGAATATTTTACCATATAATGTGAAAAACCTTAATGAAAGAAGAAGAATTTACCCCACAAACATTATAAACATGCGGACACCAAACGGGGACGGACCTGCCTCTCTCGCCGTGGCTATCTTCACTCAAGTCTCGCTAATTAAAAGTACCTCGGTAGCTTCTCCCTGGGCTGGTCTGCGTGCCGATCATTACGCTATGTGCTAATTAGGCCTCGCTACATCACATCTTGAGCCGATCGCCGCCGTAGCTCCGGAGAGACGGACCTGAGCGTCGGAGGCTTGTCATGTAGCAGTCATCTGTGCCCTCCGCTGATCCAGGCCCAGAGCTCCTCGACTCGGGTAATTGGAGAGAAGACACGTCGTAGGTATTCGGGTTGATGAAGATGCCGTGTGAAAAATGCAGAGCTCACATGTGTTGGTTTAGCCTCGGTCTGTGGACATGTGCGACCAGGCGGAAGGAAGGGCAGTCGTACTTACTCATAGAACTCATAGTTTTATAGGTCACCTCCAGGGAACACATTACCCCCATCCTCAAACGACTTCCTGTCCCTTACCACATACAATGGTCCTGAAAGTGCTGAACCCTGGGGGCCTTCTGAAACCTAAAGACCAAGCTTGCATGGTTAATTCTTTATTATACTTTTAAGACATGAACTTGTCTGGTGCACACTGGGGACTTCAGTACGTGTATTCCAACGTGGTTTTACTGCAAATGGAAAAATAACTCAATCTGAATCTGAGCCTCCCGAACCTTCAGGACCGAGCCCTCTAAACCCCTGGGGGACCGACTCATCTGAACCCTGAGGACCTGTTTTAAACTGCCTGACAAACACAGATAGAAGCCATTGGTCCATAGTGAGCGGGACGACCACTGTCTATAAATGTTAATAACTGGAGAATTGTCCTTAAATGTTCTGTTGCTGTGGTTTTGGGCGATACATGAATACATTTATTGACTTCACTATGGAGGAATGTACATGTCACATTTGGTATAGAAAGAGTCAGTTGTGCAAAAAGACAGGAAGTGTGCAAACATATTAAACAGGTCAAAATATGTCTGTTTTGTGCATATACGAAAGTATTCGCCCCCCTTGAACCTTTCAACATTTTGCCATATTTCAGGTTTCAAACATAAAGATATACATTTTTTATTTTTTGTCATGAATCAACGACAAGTCGGACACAATCGTGAAGTGGAATGAAATTTGTTGGATAATTAAAACTTTTTTAACAAATAAAAAACTGAAAAATGGGGCGTGCAATATTATTATGTTTGCTATACCTTATATGGAAGAAGACCAAGGCCAGACCAGACTGGGACCGGGAACTGGCTGATACGACACGCCCCTCCTTCCTACACATTATTACTTATATGCTTTGGCTTGAGTTTTCGAGTCAGTTAGCACAGGGATAGATTTAGGGAATTATCTAGCTCCAAGAGTTCTGTATCAACATTTAATTGTAAAGAGAAATAAATGTTCTATTCTTAACTCTTGAAGTCTTGATCTTACTTTCTGTATCAAACTTTGAACACGTCAGTCAAATCTTTTTCGCCAACATCTGATACTCCTTCCATTTCAATATAATTGCTTGCACAGTGCTCCTTGAGATGTTTAAAGCTTGGGAAATCTTTTTGTATCCAAATCCGGCTTTAAACTTCTCCACAACAGTATCTCGGACCTGCCTGGTGTGTTCCTTTGTCTTCATGGTTCTCTCTGCGCTTTAAACAGAACCCTGAGACTATCAAAGAGCAGGTGCATTTATACGGAGACTTGATTACACACACGTGCATTCTATTTATCATCATCAGTCATTTAGGACAACATTGGATCATTCAAAGATCCTCACTGAACTTCTGGACTGAGTTTGCTGCACTGAAAGTAAAGGGGCCGAATAATATTGCACGCCCCACTTTTCAGTTTTTTTTTTTTTTTTTAAAGTTTAAATTATCCAATAAATTTCGTTCCACTTCACGATTGTGTCCCACTTGTTGTTGATTCATGACAAAAAATTAAAATTGTATATCTTTATGTTTGAAGCCTGAAATGTGGCAAAATGTTGAAAGGTTCAAGGGGGCCGAATACTTTCGCAAGGCACTGTATGTGCAATGATAAAAATAAAAGTGACTAAAGCTGTGTGAGTTTTTCAGTCCAAATGAATTGAAATAAATCTATAATAATCAATAACAATAATATTAAGACATTTTGGGATAATGTCTTAATGTTGTTATTATATTATGTCCTTGGAGGCAGTGTGCGTGGAAGGGGCGGTCTGGGCGTTTCTGCTTAGACTGCTGCCCCCGCCACCCAGCAATGGATGAAGCGGAAGAATAAAAATGATGGATGGATTAGCACAGTGTATAAAGAGTGTGATAAATGCGTGCGTGGGAAGAACAATTCTTAGTTTTTGGATAAAACACTAGAATCTTACAAAAGACATCCGTCCCATCTGCCTCCGGAGTCAGATTAACCAGAAAGCGTCATGTCGTACACATTAATGAACCTACAGTGATGTGAGCGTGCAGCGTGCGGCGTGTGGCGGGCGGCGTGCAGTGTGCGGCAGGTGGCGGGCGGCGTGTTGCGTGCAGTGTGCGGCAGGTGGCGGGCGGCCAGGACCACAGCTGCTGATGATCACAGGGACAGGGGCCGCTCCGTCACAGCCGCCATGAATCTGCTGCTTCTGCCGCTCTGTGCCAGCGGCCGCCACTTGTTGATTTACACAAACAGGTTGAGGACGGAAAACATGGAAATAATTCATGCTGCGACGAGGAGCAACTTCATCAATACTTAATCAGCGGCGGTGGCAGAGTGGAGGTGAGGAGAGGGAGGAGGTGGAGGTGAGGAGGAGGGGAACAGGGTGAGGAGTTGAGAAGGAGGTGGAGATGAGGAGGAGGTGAGGAGAGGGAGTTGGAGGTGAGGTGGAGGAAAGGAGGAGATGAAAAAGGAGAGGAGGGGGAGGAAGAAAAGGTGAGGAGGAGGTTAGGGGTTGGAGGAGGTAAGGAGGAGGTGAAGATGAGTAGGAAGTGAGGAGAGGGAGGTGAGGAGGGAGAGGGGGAGGAGGAGGAGCAGTTCTTTAACTTTAGGACTCCCAGAATTCTGAAACTACTAGAAATCCCAGAGCAGTCATTTTGACGGCTCCCATTCATCACACTTAGAGCAGTTTTCTGCCTCTAAAAACAAAAGTGTTATTATTATTCCCAATTAGGTTCTTTACAATCACACGGCTTTGGTTGCAGCCGGTACTTTTCCAAATTGAAAAATAAAAAAGTTTAAGCCTCATAAAAGCTGTCAATGTTCTAGTCCTAGTACCAAGTTTTTAGCATTGTACAGAAACGGCTGGAGAAGTTCTGGAGAAAAATATCAGCGTGGATGGAGCTAAAAACAACTCCAGCTCCAGTGCATGGTATGGAGCATAGTTCAGATGTTACCTCGTTCTCGTCGTCTCTTGTCGTCACCTCTCTTGTTGTTTTGACAGTCAGAAAGTGTCCAACTGCAGTGGTTTCTTTAATGATATAGACCTATATACATACAGCCGACCATAGACCCGTCTGCTCACACACACACGTTCGTTACAGGTGAGAATCCCAGACTCCAGACTCTGATCTCCGAGGTGTGGATTGGACCATGTGTGGCTATGTTCTGCCCTTAGCCTGATCACAAAATGTCTTGCTACGATTACGTCTTATCCTACAGAACAGCCCCAGTTAGCCGTGCAAACTTTTCCCCACTTTTCGTCTCTCCTAAAGCCGGGAGTGAGAAGTGACAGTATTTCTCTACAGCTCTGACTCCGGGAACAAGCAGGCTCTCTCCAAGGCTCTCCGGGGAAATATAGTTTTGCGTGGAACGTGTGGAATCCATCACGCTGATGAAATGCATAATTAATTCTCGTCATCCTCCTTAATCCTTCTCCAGACATGACCGCAGAGCTGGATATTACACAGGCTGCGGTGGTGGCATTCGGCTCATATGTATTGTACTTTTGTCGTTTTTACCCAACGATAAATCCACAAGGTTACAAAGTATTTACTCAAATAAGTTGAAAACAAATCGATGCTTGGGAGCCGCGCTGTCATACCCTTAGGGAGGTGGTTCCCCGGGAAGAATGCTCAATCCCTGCGGCCCGGGTTCATCTGAGAAGCAGATTGTGTCGGATTGATCAATGAGAAGCGCTGCTGAGCCATCAATCTCACGGCGCGGTGTCGGAAAAGGCGGCATTAACATGGAGCAGCAGCGGCGTCCCCACATCGTCCTCTACCCGGAGTCAAAGGAAGCCGCCACCTCTGGGACTGAAACAAAAAAGAGGTGAGTCTGCTGCAGGGCTGTTAAAACATCAGGCTGTCTCCGCCGGTTTCAAGGCTCGGATCAATCTGGGATCTGGTCGTTCTGGGAGAATGTTTTGATATTTTTAGCAGATGTTTTTGCTTTGCTGAGATTCAATTCCAAGTATTATTGTTATGTATGGACAAAAACACAGCAGTCGTCGTTGAGGACTTTACAGGGAAGAATCCGTTCAAATACAGTGGTTAAATACAGTCTCAGTCCTGGATCTACAGCCTCAGTCCTGGGTCTACAGTCTCAGTGCTGGGTCTACAGTCTCAGTCCTGGATCTACAGCCTCAGTCCTGGGTCTACAGCCTCAGTCCTGGGTCTACAGTCTCAGTCCTGGGTCTACAGCCTCAGTCCTGGGTCTACAGCCTCAGTCCTGGATCTACAGCCTCAGTCCTGGGTCTACAGTCTCAGTCCTGGGTCTACAGTCTCAGTCCTGGATCTACAGCCTCAGTCCTGGGTCTACAGTCTCAGTCCTGGGTCTACAGCCTCAGTCCTGGGTCTACAGCCTCAGTCCTGGGTCTACAGTCTCAGTGCTGGGTCTACAGTCTCAGTCCTGGATCTACAGCCTCAGTCCTGGGTCTACAGCCTCAGTCCTGGATCTACAGTCTCAGTCCTGGGTCTACAGTCTCAGTCCTGGGTCTACAACCTCAGTCCTAGATCTTTTTACAGCATTCCCATTGAACTAAAACGGCTTGTTTCAGAACTCCATCCGTGCATCTCACTGCACTCATTCACTACCTCACCCCTCCCTCTTTTCCCTCACCTCTCTCTCCTCCCTCTCGTCCCTTCCCTCTCCTCCTCTCCCCCTCCTCCCCCTCCTCCCTCTCCTCCCCCTCCAGCACAGAGAGCTCCCCCCATCATCAGCACCATCCACATTAACACCCCGGTCCCACCGCGACCGCACCTTTCTGTCCCTCACACCTTCTGTATTTAACTCTAAACGTGCGAGCGGAACATCTGCCGCCGATCTGCCCTCGGTGTGAAAACCACCTTCATCTGCCCTCGGCCAATCACACGCCTTAATGAGAGCGTGGAACAAACCCGCACCTTTTCCAACGCCACGGTTTAAGACAAGCAGGTGATTAATGAGCGATCGGAGCAGGTTTTTGCCGCCGGACAGAATGTTCCATATCGCTACAGTCGTTGGTGAAGTCGTTAGAATGCCTACGTCGAAGTCCCAATTACAACAAATATGGCCGACGTGTGATTTTTATACCAATTTGTCGGTTTGTTGTGTTGTGGATAACGTAATTGTCGTGCTAAGAGAGTGTTGCCGTTAATTAGGAACGAGCTGATTTAATGTTGGAACTTTAATGCACTGGTGGGAATCAAAAACACATACACATATTGGATTATGGAAGTTAGGAAGTTAGGATGCAGGGGTGAAAAAATACATAAAGTATTGCAGCTCGAGTCCGGACTAGAACCAGGAAGTACCATCGCATTAGTCCTGGTCTCAGGTCTCAGCACCTGTGGCTCAGAGAATAGACTTTAAAGTAGCTCTGTTTGTTGCAAGTCTCTCCAATGGGCTCGGACCAAAGTACTCTGAGGAGCACAGGGACTGGCCTCCTACTGGGACTCTGAGGAGCAAAGGTACTGGCCTCCTGCTGGGACTCTGAGGAGCACAGGGACTGGCCTCCTGCTGGGACTCTGAGGAGCACAGGTACTAGCCTCCTGCTGGGACTCTGAGGAGCACAGGGGCTGGCCTCCTGCTGTGACTCCGAGGAGCACAGGGACTGGCCTCCTGCTGGGTTTCGTTAAAAACACAATTAGGATTCTCTTGTATTTTTGAGCTAACATTTTAAGGTCTGTCTTGGATCAGTTCCTAATTGGCTCAGGAGCTTCAGGAGAAGAAACATTAATCCTAGTTTGTGTCTATGTGGGCCCTAAAAGTGGATTTGTGGGATTATTTACTTAACTGAGAATGTATCGTGGGAGATATTTGATAAAAGTCTAAAGATATCTTGACTTGTTCAGAAAAAATATTACAAGCAAAAATAAATTCCCAAGTCCAGGTATTCATTCATTATAAGAAACCGATTTTTCTGAAAACTGCCAATTATGTGGAGTGTTTTGTTTTAAGTCATTCTTAGTGATTCCTGCAAAAAAATCAAAGTTTAGTCCAACCGTCTGATTGTGGTAAACTGGATCTGCAAAGTCTGGGTTCAATATTTTTCTCAAAAGAACCTGTGTTTAGGGACATTTGAACCTTTTGTGTGAACGTGAAGCCAATTTCCACAGACACTATCTTTAACTTTAACATTTCTCCTTCTTCTCCACACATTTATGCATCTTTCCCTCAACAAATGTTTAATATCGATCCCTAAAGGTGTCTGAGAGGCACAAAATTGGACTTTTTAACAGAAAACCGCGCTCTCCTGCTGCTCATTTTCCAACACATATTTTAGGTACCATTAGTTTTAGCTCACACTCTCGTTTTCTATTCAAACACCCGGCTCTGTGAAGACAAGATGGCGTCAGACAGACAGCACAGACTCCTCATTACGGAGACGCAGGGCTAAACGACACGCCAAAGAGCAACTCGACAAGGGCTGGGAATGCCACGTCTCGTTAGCCTTTTTCAGGTTTTTCCGCCCATTTTATTCTATGTTTTTCGCACTGTTGATGTGAGATGGAGAGGTTCTGCAGGTCCTTCCTTCCTGCTGCTGTCAGACTGTACAATGAGAACTGATGAGTCTGTATGTGGGCCGTCCCCCTGCTCTGATAATCCACAAGTTACTTTACCTGCTGCTACTATTACTATAGTTTGTTCTGGTCGTATTCTCTGCTGTTGAAGAATAGAGAGAGACCAGAGAGAGACCAGAGAGAGACCAGAGAGAGACCAGAGAGAGACCAGAGAGAGACCAGAGAGAGATCAGAGAGAGACCAGAGAGAGACCAGAAATAGACCAGAGGGAGACCAGAGGGAGACCAGAGGGAGACCAGAGGGAGACCAGAGAGAGACCAGAGAGAGACCAGAGGGAGACCAGAGAGAGACCAGAGAGAGACCAGAGAGAGACCAGAGAGAGACCAGAGAGAGACCAGAGAGAGACCAGAGAGAGACCAGAGAGAGACCAGAGAGAGACCAGAGAGAGACCAGAGAGAGACCAGAGAGAGACCCGAGAGAGACCCGAGAGAGACCCGAGAGAGACCCGAGAGAGACCCGAGAGAGACCCGAGAGAGACCAGAAACAGACCATTTTAAAGAAGCCAGTGTAAGATCTCTCATGCAGGCGGCAGTGGTTGAGTTGGTTTAACATTGACCTTTGACCCTTCTCCACCGACTCCCACTGATGTCCGCTGTCGTTGTGTCCTTGAGCAAGACACTTAACCCCACTTTGCCTGAAGCCTCCACTGAAAGATCAAGTCTATGCCGTCACCGACAGAGCAGCCACTCCCCCCGACCGGGAAATGGGCAAGAAAATGGATTGAGGTAAAGTCTCTAGCTTTAGCATAATAAAGAAGCCAGTGTATAATCCTGTATATTATAATACAAAACATATATAGTTGTATGTTTACATCTCGACACGAAGGTCTGGGACAAAGCGACAGTGGCCATATTGTTGTCTTTGCTATATATATACATTTGTAATATACAGGTATTGTTATATGCTATATGCCTCACCAACAGAGGGCGCCCTAGACAGAGGCGAGACGAACAGGTTAGCGATAAGAACTACAGAGTAAGAATGTAGCATGCTATGAGTCTGACACTCTCTGGATTAACAGCCGGAAAATTGACTGTTTTGATTCACCAACAAAACACACATGTGCTTTTGTATTCTACATTCTGACATTAGTTCCAGTTATATTAAACACCAAGTATCGTGCGTTGAGTGGGTTACATCCCAGTAACGTCCCGCACCCTGTACACCTCTAACATACATCTCATCATTTGCATAAACCGCCGAGGTTGAAGTTGATGTATTCAGTCCCGAGCGGAAAGTGCAGCATCCGGAGCCGGTGATAAATAATGAATGAGTTTACAAATTACTACAAATTCTGACAATTTTTAAGCTGCAAAATATCTGCAGGCTGTGGAGATGTCAGTCCCGGCAGAGGATCTACAGTGTTGGCTTTTGGAACCGGAATCGAGGAGAGAGAGAGAGGCTGGGAGCTTCCAGGGCTGCGATCATATGGTCTTGTGGTAAAACGGGGGGTAATCTTTGGCTCCAGGGGTTTCCATGGTGATGATGGCACTGGGTGAATTCCAAAAATGTGTCATGGGAATGTTGGGAAGATTAGGGAGGTTAGGGAACTGCTCTGTCAGAGGAAAAATACTGCTTCTACTCGGACGATATGGAGAAAAAGTCTTAAAATGAATGAAAAAACAGACCAGAGAGAGACTAGAGAGAGAGACCAGAGAGAGACCACAGAGAGACCAGAGAGAGACTAGAGAGAAACCAGAAAGAGGACAGAGAGAGACTAGACTAGACAGACAAGAGAAAGACCGGAAAGAGAGACTAGATAGAGACCAAAAAGAGACTATAATATAGAGACCAGAGAGAGACCAGAAAGAGACCAGGGAAAGACTGGAAAGATCAGAGGGAGACCAGAAAGAGACCAGGGAGAGAGACCAGAGAGAGACCGGAAAGAGAGACGAGACAGAGACCAGAGAGAGACCAAATATAGACAAGAGAGAAACCAGAGAAAGACCGGAGAGAAACCAAAGAGAGACCAAAGAGAGACCAAAGAGAGATCAGAGAGAGAGACCAGAGAGAGACCAGAGAGAAACCGGAGAGAGACCAGGGAGAGACCAGAGAGAAACCAGAGAGAGACCGGAGAGAGACCAAAGAGAGACCAGAGAGAAGACCAGAGAGAGACCGGAGAGAGACCAAAGAGAGACCAGAGAGAAACCAGAGAGAGACCAGGGAGAGACCAAAGAGAGACCAGAGAGAGACCGGAGAGAGACCAGGGAGAGACCAGAGGGAGACCAGAGAGATCCAGCAGAGAAATAGAGGGTTCCAGTGCCGGCTTTTGGAGCAGGAGTCGACACAGTTAGCTGTGAAGAGAGAGATGCTCGGAGCTTGGCACTGGTTAAATTCCAAAAACGTGTCTTGGGAATTCTTGGAAGATTGGAAGGTGAAGGAACTGCTCCGTCAGAGGAAAAATTCTACTTAAAACTTGTAACCTCCAATCAATATTTTCTTTATTTTAGTACAAGAATTATTATTATTTTCATCTGTCTATGTGGGCGAGGCCGTACTCAGGCCAAAAAGGGTTAGAATCTCTGTACTGGAGGTTGCTTTTTTTCCATAAAATCAACTAAACATTGCTCTATTCTGTGGTGAAAAGAGTGATTTTTCCTAAACTGAGGCAATAGCAGCTGCTGTAGCATTATTAATTCCAAGAGCAGACTTCACAGTGACATTTCCCGCACAGGTTTATAATACTAAAGGTCTGTAGATTAAACAACTATTGGATTGGATTTCTCTCTCCTGCTCTTCACAGACACGTATAATAAAACCTTCTCTTACCTGATTCAATTGGGCTCACCTCCATTTGATATGCTCCATTCCGGCTGCGCTAAAGTATGGGCTGCGTCTCAAATGTAAAAAGTAAAAGGCGCCCGGGGGAACAGAGGTGGCTGATGGGAATTGATTGGTCGCTCTCCAAACCCTGGATCCGACACAATGGAGCGTTAATGACAGAGCTGAGACGGTTCCCATTCTGGACGTCGTATCTCGGCTTTTTCCACATCTGCGTCGTCCACTTTAGTATTTTTCTTACCTCAACAGGAGCTACATTAAATTAAAATGAGTAGGATATAGACACACTGCAAAAAATGATCAAATATGAGGTAGTGTTTGATTGATTGGAGTGGGTTTAGTCTTAGTTTTGAGTTTGTTCTGACTGAAGATTTGCCGATGGGACAAAGTTA